TACAATACTTACATCTAAGCCCTGCCGAAGTCAGAACAGTCTAGATAAAATTGTCGTTTTATGTGCATGTCTATGATTATATGATTTTTGCTTGAGTCGAGGCTCTCAAAGTCCAACGTTCTACAGTTTACCATATTTAAGCCTTCTCTATTAAATAAGCGGTCTGTTCTTCACGATGTACTTCTACCCAACCTATACATTAAAACAGAGCAGAACAGACCCAAACAAAACCAGACGCCCTCCAACTATTCTATTGCCATCCCATCAATATACTTGAAGGCCTTAGATTCATCATCTTAATCTTCATATACAACAATAATCGGCCTCTCGCTGCAAGATCGGTTAAAAACTATTTTGAAAACAGCGGCGAGAAAGTTTTGTCTGATCCGGCTTATAGCTCAAACCTTACCCCTTCTGACTACAAGTTCTTCCAGTCAATGTAGAACGCGCTCAGGGTTTCCAGGGTTTACATCTGAACAGGGTACCAAAAATTTGCGTGATTTTTCCATGACCAACAAGGCGGCGCAATTATTTTGGAATGGCATCTACAAATCGACAGAAAGATGGCAAAATATGATAGCTTTAAATGGGCAATAAGAGAGTAGCCTTTTATATTTCGCGTTTAGAGAACGAAAATCGCCTTATGGTTTTTTAAAATATTCTCCATTAGGATCTATACACTTTTGCATGTGTTTGAATCAATTGTCGAAGCACTTTTGCCACTTTGATTGTGATATCTCCCAAACATGCAATCTGAACGGATCAACCGTCTCTTCAGGTGTCGAAAAAAGTTGGCCTCTTAGTTTATTTTTTACATACGGGGAAAAAAAAGTCATCCGGTACCAAGTCACGACTATTCGGCGGATGACTCATCAAATCGGTGTTTTGAGTGCTCAAAAATGCACTTGCTTTATTTGATCTATGAGAGCTCGCATTCTCGTGGTTAGTTTTCCTTATTTCGAGAAAGACAACTGGTATACAAATGGTTGTGTATCACTCAGAATTTACTCATCTGTGGTGTTCCTGTGGTATGGTTGCGACATATACAGTTTTTCCAAAAAAAAAACAGGAACAATTTGCTTGGAAGTGCTTCGTGCGCGAATAACTTTGGTTGGATTCGACTGATATGGGAACGCCTAAACAGTCGACTGCTGCTTACTTTCGAGCACATACGCGTAAATCCACGATTCACCACCTTTCACGATGTTATAGACATGTTTCGAAGCACCGCAGTCGCATTTTTTAAACTTTTCTGTAGATCAATAGAAATGAGCTGGAGAAATTGTGTGGGATCCAACGTGAAACAATTTTTTTACAGTCAAATCTTAATACTATATTGAATATATGCTGGTCCCACTAATGCATATAGTTGTCTCAATATCACTAAAAGTCACATAAGGATCTTGCAATATCAGTTTGCGCACAGCATCAATAGTTTCCGTAAAAACAAGTAATTTTGGACGACCGTCAGAAAATTTATCTTGCAGTGATCTACGACCTCGATTGAATTCACCATGCCATGGATTAACCCTGGTCCTTGAGAGAGCTTCATTGAGAAAAATTTAATTAAGTTCATTGATGCACTCTTGATGAGTTAATTCACGTAGAAAGTTGTAAAAAATACTCGTGCGAAAACGTACGCGATTTAATTACATTTCTTTGCCGAGATGAATATTTTAAGTTACTGTTAACAACACAGATAGTGCTCGTATGTCAAAACGAGTACAATATGTACAAGTATAACGTCTACAATGTAGTTTTCGATAAAGTTGTGAGTTGCCAGATGCCAACACTAGGGTAGCCAAATCCCGAAATCTAAAAGGCAACCTACGTACTTTCATTAATACTATTGTAGATGGGATTTTCAATGAATGATAATATTACCTGAGATAAAATATTTTGATATTCAAGTCCAGCTATTTCGAGAACAGTTGCTGCAGAAAGCTCAGAACTACGTTTATGAGGAAAAAAGGCGGTGTACATTTTGAGTACACAAGTGAGTAGTTACAGATAATCCTTCAAAAAATCTTTCAGCATTGTTCTACAACAGATTTCCGTACCAAAAATTATAAAGCTTGAACTCTATCTTCATCAATATTTGAAGAGCTTCAAACAATTTCTTTTTAAATTCATTTTTAAGCTCCAATTTATACGGCCTACAAATTCCACGTACAATCTCGAAATAAGCTAATTAAACAGAAACTATTTAGTTTATCATCAGATTATTCCTTATCAAATCAAAAGTTACTGGCGGTCAACTTTAATTACTAACTTATTAACATAGATGATGAAATGATAATAACGCGTAATATTTAAATGTAGAATGAGAGACTTAATAGCGGGTGTGTCACTGTGCAAGACTCTCACTCAACACTCTGTTTGCAAACTCTAAAAAACTGGCTACAAGTGGTTCAAAGGTGAAAAAGAGCAATCGAGCATAACTTTTTGTGTTAGGTTATGGCTATACTTTGTGAGAGTCGAAGAGCGCAGAAAAATAGTTGAGTTGTTATATTTTCTAACCTTTAAACCTTTTCCGACGATAACTTAACCATACCATTTTTGTTAATCGCTTGACGAGCTCTAATTATATACCCTATAACTTTTAATACCTTTGTCGGTAAATACTAAGCAAGAATTATCAAAACATCATTCATCGTAGTAAATAAATAAAAATACACTAGACTTTCTAAATCTTTTAAACGCTGCTAATTAAGTGTAATAAAGCGCAAAAAAGAAAAACAGTTGTAAATTTTTGCGCTCGGTTTATGATCTACTTTCAGAGAGAAAATAAGATTACTTATTTATTTTTGTGAATTCGAAAGTCTTTGAAAAATGACGGCAACGTTTTATGCTTTTTTTATAAATTTAAAGCTTCTCTGACCTGATTTCTGCATTTTAGTTTTATTTACTGATATTTAAATTAACATTTATCGATTTTATCATTTTTTTTTTTTTTTTAATAATTATTGTATATTTTCAATTGGCATAAGATTGCTCAACGGTAAATGTTTAGTTAATATTTAATAATTTTGAGGTAGTATTTATCAATAGTGATATTTCAACAATTTTTTAAACGAAATTTTAATTGGTATATCGATTTTATGATATTTTTTTTATCACATTTGTTTAGTCAAAGTTCTTACTTAAGTATTTAAAAATATTATTATCGATTTTATAAATATTATTTTTATTCAATATTTTAACATTTTTTTCCCCAAGTATTTATTGATATTTAAATAATTTCTATCGCTTATTATCAATTTTATAATTTTTTATTTATTTTTTATCGATATATCGATTTTGTGAATATTTTTTATTAATTACATTTTTTATTCAACATTCTAACTTAAGTATTTAATATTATTATTATAGATTTTACAAATATTATTTGTTCTACAATATTCAAAATATTAATCGATATTTAAATAATTTTTATCGATTTTATACATTATAATTTTTTTTTACTTTTATATTAGTTATATTTTTCATTCTATGTTCTAAAAATAGTAAAAAAAAGTTTTCGACTTTTGTCGATACATTTCCAACATATTCGACTATTGTAGTAATTTTTATATTCCTGTGAATGCTTAATATATCGTTCAAAGAATTTCCTTGTTAAAAATATATTTGAACTTAAAACTGTTCAGTTACACCAAGGATTTGCTCATTTTATCGATTATTATTTTTGTTATTTATTATTATGTTATTTATTAAGCAAAATATACAAAGGGATCTGGCTGTAGGAAAAAAATAATAATGAAGCAATTTTATAAACATTTATATTCTAAAATATCATCATGTAAGTAATTGTGACGCAATAATTGGTTATTTTTGACGAAAAAAAGCGGTTTTACGAATGACATTTTATTTTACCATAGAAATAGGCAAAAAAAGATAATATTCCAACAACATGTAAACAGAAATCGATAGCTTTTTTTAATGCTACTATTAAATATAGAAATAGTCTAATAACTAAAAACTTTATTCAGCTTATTATGTATAAAAAAACTATTATCGAAATAAACTTATTTTCGATCAAATAGTGAAGGAAATAATCAGATCATAATTTCTCGATAATTTGAAAGAATTGAAATAAGAGTGATATGATTTCAAAGTAACGCTAGAATTGGATTATTTGAGCGTTTTTTATTTAGATTTTATAATTATTTGCTAAAATATGAATAGTAAACCCACTTAAGGAGTTATATCCACTTGCAAGTAGGAAAATACGCTTTTTGGTATTTTATTTTATTTTTTTTTTTGAAGACATTTTATTTATTAAATAAATGAAAATAATGTGTATTGACTGAATTCAATGGGCTTTAACAATCCATGACGCATTTTGAAAAATGTTAGACTCTTGATCCCATAGCCGATCTCTAGGAGGAGCTCCGACAAAAAGGTGTTTGTCAAAGAGGAAAATCTACCTACTTAAAATTATCTCAAGTCCATAAATCAAAACACATTTATTTTGCAATAAACGAATACAGGTAGTGATCAAAGGACTAATTGAAATTTTGTTTTTTTCAAATAGTTGCGTCCCAAAAAAAAGTTCGGTTTTTGTGAAAAAATTTACATTTCAAAGATGCTTAAGAAATTTAAATTATTAACCAAAATCTTATTCCTTCGGTCATTACTTGACAAATTCTTGTATATGTAAGAAGGTCGCGTTAAAAATTTAAGTCAAAAAAGTGCAGACATTTAAGGCAAATTTTCCTCACTGACTCTGCGATCAAAGTTTCGAGAAAATCGCGTTTAAACCGATTCCACAAAATAAAAAATAGCTTACAAATACGCTCTTAACTTCTTAACCATTTGTCGAAACAATTTCAAATTTGTGGAGAATATTTTCAAATACATTTACATTCAATATATTTGCAAAAAATCGTTTTTATTTATGAAATTCGCAAGTGGATACAACCCCTTAATTACGTCACTTTTATTTATGGCAACCCTAGCATACATTGCTTGTGTGTTTATTCTCCTTCCCATTCACTTACATGACAAACGGTGTATCTTCCTTCTTCGACATTCTGCTTTAGCACTTTTTATATAATTTTCTCTTGAAAATGAGCGAGAACTTAATTTTTAAACTATTATTTTTATTTTCTTTTGTGTTTTTTATTTTAATTAAACCAAAAGTTGATTGGAAAATAGCAAATATCCAAAACAGCAAGCAATAATAAATGTTTTCGATATATTTTTTTTTCTTTTAATTTATTTTGCCTTTTAATATTTCTTGAGGGAATAGCTACGGCTTTTGGGCAAGACAAAGCTAGTAGGCTTCTGTAGGGTTCAATAATCTTAGTATTAATTCACTTTAGAGATGTAACTTTATTTATACATATGTATATAAATATTTTTGTTTTACAATAAACACACTTTCAACTTAACACTTGACACACAAATTTATTATTTTTTAAATTTTCTTTTATAAGACGTTTATACTATTTTTTTAACTTTTTATAGTATTTTTGGTAATTTTTTCATTTTTTGATTTTCAAATTTATCAAAATGAAGTCTAAACTTCAATTCCTACCCTCGCACACATTTTTCACAAATATTTCAGACCTAAAATTTCTTTGCTTGAACCACAATTAAATTTACACGTGCTATTCTATTGAAGCTGCTTCGAAATGGACACAGCAAAGTGACAATTTCCAACGTTGCTGAGGAACTGAATGCGTTGATTTTGAAGTTAATGACTTTTGGATGGATAAACAACGGATAAGAAACGCAAGTCGAGAGGTAAACCGAGAGTGCGTGATGAAGGAGGAACGGCAACAGCACAAATGCATATGCAAATATAGAATTATCAGCAACTACAAGACTTATAAAGAATGATGTTGTTGATCACTTTTATGAAATGTCAAAGCAACAACAACTTGTTAGCAAACAGTGTTGAAATACCGAAGGAGGCGAACAAGCGAGCAAACGAGGAGTCTGTTAGCGTCGTGCAAAGCAGCCAAGTTGTGGTGCTGAGTGAAAGGCGTTAAAGTGATAAGACAAATCACAAATATACTTACGTACAATTGTACAAATACATATATACATATCAACATATATACCTATCTACATTTGTGTTGGTATATATTTATTAATGTTTATTTTATGTAGGTAAACATGTATGTGAGCGCGCGTACAGTGAGTTCATTGTGTGGTGAGATGTGCAAACTCAAAGACAACAATAACAACAACAAAAATAACAACAACAGTAACAGTGACGTTTAGTTTTATTACAAGTAAAACAGTTAAATGTGGAAAAATAGAGATTTATATGAAAACTATTGTAGATAAGGAATTTAAGAGACACGCTGCAGCAAAGATGGAGAGCAGAAAGCAGTCATTGTACTCGTATGTATTTTTGTATATTAATGAATGGAGTTTTAGTGATTTTTAGTTGTTCTAAACTTATTTAATATGTACAATATTATATAGCAACAAGTGTGATGAGTAATATACTGATGCTCACATTCGTGCATAACCTCAATTAAATTATTGCTATTAAAATTGAGCAATTAATCTTAAAAAAAATATAAAAACGTAAATTTTGGCTGCACCGACACTATAATACACATTACAGGGGCATTTTTTATAGCATAAAATGGTAAAAAAAATCCTCAATCTTGAGACGTAAGCTTGTATGGCGACTGTATGCTATAGTGCTACGATCTGTGCAATTTGTTCGCAGATTGGCGTTGTTTTTGATAATGATCGATGTCATATTTTGTGTAATTTGTGTCGAAAAAAAAGGTTTTCTATATAAGAACTTGATTTTGATCACTTAGTTTATATGACTACTATATTCTATACTGGTCTGATATCGGCGGTTCCGACAAAACAGCAGCTTCTTGGAAGGAAAGAGAGCTAAGCAAAATTTCAGATCGATATCCTAAAAACCGAGCGCCTAGTTCGAGTTATACATACGCATATATACAGACAGATGGACGGACATGGCTAAATCGACTCAGCTCGTCACATTTGAAATTTGTAAAAAGCTCAAAAACTCTCATTTTTCACATAAAAGCTCAAACGACTTCAAGAAGCTCCGATTTCCTTTAAAAAATTAAACTACATATCAGAAAATTCAAATTTTAGAAATAAGTGTTTATATATGAAAAAACCAATATATTTCACAAAAGCTTTAATATAGTGGAAAAAACGTAAAGTTAATATTTTTACAAGAAGAGTAAAAAAATCGATTACAATAGTTTTAGAAACACTATATATATTTTAAGCATATAAATATATGATGAAAATCACAAATTCGGAAAAGCTTTATTGTACTCTATATAAGCTCTAATAGCTTTTGAAAAATTTTTTCTACAAAAGCTTAAGCGACTTCAAAAAGCTAAAACTTCTCTTTCAAAGGTATAATTGCAATTCCGAAAATACAAAGCAAGAACTAAATTTTCGACTCAAAATAGCAAAATGTTTCAAAAGAGCTCAAATATATAAAACAAATTGCTTGAAATTAAATATATAAAAAAAATTGCAAGAATACTACATACATTATTATTTTGGAAAAAAATATATATAAAATATACACCACAAAAGCTTTTACATATTTTCGCAAAGCTTTAATGTCATCTAGATAAGCTGAAGTTGCTTTCAAAAAGCTCAAATGCATTACTAAAAAAAACTTTACAGTACAAAAAATCAAAATATGTTTAATAAAATACAATGTATTTCTCGATATTTGCGAAGCCCATGATATATTTAAAAAAAAAGTTTATATTAGATTGTAGAGTGGTTTAAAATTAATTTCAAAATAAAATTGTCAGCAGAAATCGAGATATACATATTTTGAGAATAGTTTTTAGAATTTTAGAAACTTTCAAATAGGGTTTAGCGTAATTGGGAAAAGTCAAAATACTAACAAAATATACAAGTATAGCTTGGAAAAATTATAATTCAGGTAATGCTAATTTAATTTTATGAAAGTTTAATAAATTTAAAGGGTTATATACACTTGCAAGTCGTGAAGTGAGTGTATTTTTGTGAATTTTTTTTGAAGAGGCATTTTACTTAATAAATAAATATAACTAATGTATATTTACAGAATTTAAATTTGGAATTCGCTTGATTCCGTAGTCGATCACCAGGAGGACCAAAGCAAAAAGGTATGTGGCGGTGAAGAAAATTTTTCTGCTTAAAATTATCTCAAATCCACAAAGCAAAAAAAGATATTAATGAATGATCGAGGGTAGTCAAAATTTTGCTAATTGTAAAAAATTGCAGCTTTCCAGAAAAAAAATTTAATTTTTTGTGAAAAAAATGTATATTTCGGACTAGCTTAAAAATCGATATCATTACCAAATTTGTATACTTTCAGTCATTACCTGACAAAGTCGTGTGGAATTTCAAGTCGATCGTTTCGGCCGTTATGGAGAAATTTTGACTGCCGATTACACTAAGTTAAAAAATCTAACAAATAAAAATAGATAATTTTTCTCTTTTTTTTTGTATTTTTTTCTTTTTCTTTGATAGTCGTTGATGTTTGACGCTGAATACCACGTAAACGCTTAACTTAATCTCAAAATTATACAGATCATTTATAGTTGGAAGCGAGATATGAATTTTTCTATCTGATAGTAAGAAAAAAAAAATAGATAATTGTAAGACGAAAGACCTTCACGTTACAATTAAGAGCTCATACTAGGAGAGACTTTATTAGAGGTGTCTAAGAACATATTTTTCCGAGTACCAACGAAAAAAAAGATAAGCTCTTTTCTACCCACTCTCATAAACATAAATAACATACAAGTAGGTACTCCTCTACATGCTTTTCAATATGTCGTGTATTTTTTCTACATGCGCACTTCTTAATCTAATTAAAGCAAATAACTTCAATAAATAATAAGGAATGTTCTCGTTGGACAAAAATGGGGGGAGCTGGCAATTACTCTGTGTAAATACAAGTATGTCTAGTATATAAATATTTGTAAAGATAAAGTAGAAGGAATGGCGAGTTTTTCGAAAGCCTTGACGTTTTTATTAGAATAAAACGTGCCTCTACATTCCATATATATTTTTAAAATATAATCTGTCACCTGGTTTTTACAACCATATAATGTTTTACATTTTTTAATAAATTATTATTTTTTATGTTTCTAGAATGTTTATAAACATTATTATATTGTAGTTGTTTAATGTTACGTATTTTACAGGTTGTCACTTTGAAGAAAAAATAAATAAAATGAAACCAAAAAAAATTAGAAATTAAAAAAATAAAAATTATGAAATAATATTTGAACATAATTAACTTTTTAAAGTAAAAAATTTAAGAAAACATTACACAAAAATCAGCAATGGCAATAAATCAAATTATTTAAAAATAATAATTAAAATAAAAAATAAAATAAAAATAAAATAATATAAAATTAAAATAAATAAAACAAAATACAATAATTAAAAATATATATATAAATAAATATACTAAAAAAGCGTAAATGAAATGAAGTAAAATAAAAGAAAAGAATATAAAAAAAATTTAATATTTTTATTTTTAGAATAACCACACCTGCCTCCACATTTAATTAAGTTCGGCTGCTACCCAAGTAATATACTTTTAAGCACGGAAAGCTTTCGTATGAGTACTAAAAACTCTGTTGGATATTTTCTGTGTGCTTCTAGCAATGTGAATAAAGTAGTGATTGCATTTGGCACTGAGCAGCTTTTAACAGTAATAAAAGCTTTAAATTGCTAGCTTTATCAGAAACATATACTGTGATTAAAAATAGTAAATAAGCGAACCACGTAGTTGTTTTGGTACAGAAAACAGGTAAATATTGATGTTACGTAAACTTAAATTTACACTTTCTGTAACTAAAATGCATGGTATTTTAATATAATTGAAGTAGTAATTTGTTGTTTACTACAATATTTTAATTCAATATAAAATTATACATTATCATAACTTTCTACGATTTAAGTGCAGAAATAGGTAAATAATGGATATTCAAAATTTCCCCTCACAAAAGGAGAAACATTGCAGGTCTCGTTTTTGTTTAGGGTACTGGCCTAATTATGGGATAGAAATTATTATTGCGCCTAATTGTAGGCCATATATTTTATTGCTTTACTTAATTTTATGTTGCCAGCTTTAAGAAAAGGGCTGAAGTTCGAAAAAAGAGTAAATTTCGATCAAATAAAATTGCATATGAGCGTTTGGAAAAGATTTATGAGTTTATGGGAAATAAATAAATTTCAATTTATGTAGAGTAAAATATTAAGAAAATTACATTTATTAATAAAAACTTAGCAACAAATTAGGTAGGTAAACTAAGAGACAAATATTGAAAACGTATGTTATATCTCAATTAAATGCTTTCTTTTTTTTGTTTTTTCTCCATAATTTTCCAGATAACAATTTTTTTTAACGATCAGCAATAATCAGCCATAAAGAGACGATTCCATCAACTTTGACAACGTTTTTACGTCACTTTTGATTCATTGTGCAACCGCACTCTTTGTTTCTCATTATAATTATCCGAAAATGTATCCAATTGATTTGCGGATATATGTAGTCAAACTTGATACTCATATTTGCTCCAAGAATCTTAAAATTTGTCAGCATATTTTGCAAAATTTATTCATAATTTGGTGCTCTGTGGTTAACTAGGAAAATTTCGACTATCAACACTAAACTTTTCTAAGCTTCATATTCGGAATACAGTCATAGCTTTGATAAAATCTGTATATTTGATGAATTGTCAACAAATAGTCTAGTTTTCAACTTATCCATACCAAGCTTTGGAAATTTTCAACAAATGTAATTAAAATAATATCCTGCCATTGCTTTATCATTCCTAAATTGATCACGTTTAAAGTCCTTAAGTTTATTTTGAGAAAATAACTTAGGCGTAGATGTTTCATCCTACCTTTTTCACTTCCACTGATAGATTGCACCGATTTCTGAGAATTTGTCGATATCATTAATTCTGAGCGCATGGGAATTACTTTTAAAACGCAAAGGGAGATTTTTATTGAGTAGAACGGACATTTAGTAGACTGTAGATTTAGATACTTCCAAGTTTGAATTTTATTAAACCTTCAAACCTTCCGCATAATTTTCCTTATTTTTTTGCTAATGAGAATGAAAGTGGGAATTACGTGATGCTTGTATGCGCGAAAAAAGGGCGCAGAACCCTAATCATGGATGGAAAAATAAATTTTATTACCAATACACCGATAATTGGTCAAAATATATAGATCGAAATCGAAATTTATTAAAATAACCAGGGCAACAAATAAATAGCTTTTTGTAGGGCCGTGTTGTATAGGTATACCTACACACATACATATATGATAAATTTTTTGTAACAAAAAAAATATTTAATTAAAAATATTTATATTAAAAACAAAATAGTTTGATTATTAAAAAATTGTGTTTAATAAAATATTCTGCATACTAATATTTTTGATGATTTATATAACAATAAATCATTTAAAATTGAAAAAATTATTTAAAATATTTTGTTGTTTTATAATTTCAATTTTTTATGATTTGTTCTTTTAATTTATCTTACACAAAATACTTTTTTTTAATTATTTATTTTAAACTACATATATATAATATATTTAGTTAAATTTTTTAAGCTACTTCATTAATGAAAAAAGAAAATTTAATTAATATTTTTTTTTATAAAATTTTTATGTGTATTGTACATTTGTGTGTACATTGACATTAATATATATATTTTCATTTTGAAAAGAAAATATTCGGCAAAGTTTATTACAGCTAAATTTTTTTTAGAATTTTTTTTTTGTTAGAAAAATTTTTTATGAAATTATTTAAATTAAAAGGTATAACTTTTTTGCTTTGAAAAAAAAAGTTTGCAGGGTTTCTAAGGTTAAATATTTTTTTTTTTGGAAAAAGCTTTTTTTAAAAAAATGTGTTTTTTACATTATCTTGATTAGTAATTATTTATTTTTGAGAATAATTATATATATTCTTTTATTTTCAAAATAAAAAAACATGTTCGGCGGGATGATTTACAGCCAAATAAATACATACAAGCATACATATGTCTATATTATTATTTTTTATTATTGTTTCTTTAGTAATCCCTAATCAATAAGTAATTGTGCCTAATCCTCTTCTGAATGCCCCCTAACATAATTACTAATCGAAAACAGCAACAACAACAACAAAAGCAATTGCAACAACTTCACGGTTGTGTGTTACCCAAAGCAAAATGGCAGATAATAATAAAAATAGATTTACTCGAGCATCTCAACTAAACACTTATGTGCCAACTGGTTTGCAAATAATTTAGTATATAAATTAATAGCTTTTGCCAAAACAACGAAACAACGCACACATACTAAGAGCTGGTAAGAGGTGGCAGTACCCTAATGCTTGGCATTTCCAAGAAATGAGCAGCTATAAACCACACGTGTGAATTATCCCATTTCACTTTGCACGAGTGTACGTAGATAGAGACAAACATACATACTACAAGTATATACATGTACTGACACACATACAATCATACAAACATACATTTCAATGGAATAGAAACACTTTCTTCGGCACCAGCAGCTGACATGCATTCGCTGGGCTTTTGTTATGTGTGTGTGTGTGTATGTGTGAGAGAAAAGGAGAAAGTATGTTTATGTGTGTGTATCAGAACACTACATGCTGGCTGCCAAGCGCTAGTCATGCATGCACAATGCAATAACAAAGCGCACAATAAAATTTTTTATTACATTTTGTTTTCTCGGCTATTGTTTGCATACTTAGCGGCGCCAAAACCGACTGTGCCAATGGAGCAAGGTGCCAGTGCATGCAAAAATGGAAATATGCCCATCACACACATACATAGATTTACAACAACAACACATACATACACACATCTACATATAGACAAGTGAAAATCACTGATTTATATGCATGTGTATGTCAACAGACACGCGAATGCCGAAACAGCCAAGCGAGGCGTTTCAAAGCCGCTGAGTGTTTATATATGGATGTGTGTGTGAGTGCTATATATGTATATATATTTATATGTGTGTGTAAGTTTCCCTCGTGCACTTTGCTTTTTGGCTGCTTTCCATACGCTTTTCGCCGTTGACATTTGCCACGCTCTGCCATTCATTCTTCTGCGCGAATTCATCAAAACAGCGTGGCAAAGCGAACACAACAACAAAACATGGAAAATGCGAATGCACGTGTGAACGTAGGAAATGTGTGATGAATTGGCATGCGGAAGTAGTAGGCAATGAGGACAGCGCAGCAGTGAACGAAGCAGCAGCAGGCAAGTAACGAGTTGTGGTCATACAAAGCAACGAGTTTCGTTAGCTCATTCACTTGCAGAGCAACGAATTGTGGCTACGAAGCCTTTGTGCTTAATACACACACATACACAAATATGGAAAGTGTTAAACTGAGCTATCCGTTGTGGTATGGTAAATATGTTCGTGGAATTTTCGTTGGCTTACTTAAAGTTGTTCGTTCGTTTGTCACACAATCGCACAGTGGTGCATTTGTTATGTTAACATAGAGAAATATTATTTGGTATATACATACAAGTATATACACAATACGCGCGAAGTAGTTCCTTAGCGTTTGAGAAATTGATCTGCAATTCCAAATCCACACATCCTCTTCTTCCCAAAAAGTTGGCGCTTTGGTCGGAACTTGCGATATCGAAACATTGTAAATTTTCAAAATCAAGTTCTTGTATGGAAAACTTTGTTATTGTACAAGATATCGGTACGAAATTTGAAATAGATTAACGCTACAATCTCCGAAAATATTGTTCAGATCGGACCATTATATCATATCGATGCTTCGGTGCAGCCGAAATTAACGTTTTCTCTGGTGTTCTTTTTTTTGCGTTATCTCAACATCCTTGTTTTTCATGTCCAGCGCGCCCTTTGATTTCCTTAATAAAGGGTGATCCATTTCGAGGTTCCCTAGTTTTTTATAGAAAAAACACAGAAATTTCGAATTTAATGGGGAATAAAGATTATCTAATTCAAATGTTGGCCGCGACTACGTCTCTAATGGTCCATCCCTTGAGTTCAATTTTCGATGACTCGTTCGGGCATTTCGACTGGTAACTGGCGAATGACACGCGTGATGTTTGGCTCCAAGTCCTGAATCGAAGCGGGATTGTCGGCATGGACTTTAGACTTTATATATTCTCACAGAAGAAAATCTAACGATGTGATATCACACGATCTTGATGGCCAATCGACCGACCCAAAACATGAAATCTGCTCACCAGTGTTTTCTCAATAAACCCATTACTGATGCGATGTGTGGAAAGTGGCGCCAACTTTTTGAAACCAAATGTCACCGAGATCACAGGCTTATTTACATACTCATTGAGACAAAAATGGGCCTCATTGCTGAACAAAATTCGGCTAGAAAATGTCAGATCTTCTTGGAACTTTTTAAGAGTCTATAGAGTGAAGCGATGTCGCTTGGGAAGGTCGAGCGGCTTTAGTTCTTGCAGAAGCTGTATTTTGTACGCTTTCAATTTAAGATCTCGACGTAAACTGCGCCAAGTCGTTTCATACGCCAGTCCGAGTTGCTGCGTACGGCGCCGAATCGACTGTCCACGGTCTTCGTGTACACTCTCAACTACAGCCACTTAAGTCAGCAGTAAACATTCTTAACTACTTTGAAAGTTCTCATGACTTCTAGATTGCAATCCTTTCAAGAGAGGCCTAGTATTTATGAAGTCATTCATTCTTACCTAGAGTATCGTTCTTACCTCAATCTCTCGAGTTGTTTTAGCAAGGTTCCCGCTAGTGAGAAAGTTCAAAAATATCTTCAACATACATATGTATAGTAACTTCAGAAATTGAGATCGAAATATCTGACAAAGTGATGTGTTGTCTTATACTGATATCAAATCTTTAGAGACCATTAGCGACTCTATTGAATTTGACGAGATAGTCTTATACCGACTGTGGGCACTGCTAAGATCAAAACATTATACTATTGTACGCGTTATAACATCTATAAAATTAATAAACACTTACGGTTTTGCATTAGTTCAGGAAGACATTGCTAACACTTTATACTCTCTCGGCTTCAGGTGAAGCCTAATAAGATGACTTTTCAGTTTATCAAGTTTGTTAATATGACAAAAAACTAAGTTTTCTACACTTTAGAATGAAGTGTTCTACTTCTTAAGAACATTAATAAGTTTTCAGAAACAGTGAGTTTATATGAGAGCTTGGGTTTGCCGGGATTACTAACCACCCTACTCAAACTTTTATATATATTTATTTGTGTTTAAAAAATTTACTCAAATCTTTGTAGCAACCCAAAAACTTGTTATATTCATCCAGTAAGCTGTGAAAGCAATACCTTCCTGATTCGAAGAAAGAAATATCAAAACAGTGGCTTTCACCGACCACTGTGCGTCGGCAATTGTCGTGCCGTCGTGCTTGCCTCATTATGTTCGGCACTTTAACTCGTTGCTTGCCTACTCGCTCGTTTGCTCGCACAGCGCGCACACAGGCACTCAGCCAGCCAATATCATTCACAGTTACACAGGCATCGAGTGCAAAACGTCGTCGCTAAAACGCAAAGTGGTCAAGTACTTCGTTTGGCGAAATGTTAAAAATCAATATGAGCGCAACGTTTTCGTAGAAAAGCAATCAATTCGTGCAATTAAACGCGAAAAGAAAAATATAAAATGTTTATAAAATTATAAGCGAATGCGACTAATGCGAACGCGTATGTATTTATGTTGGCAACGATTAGGCTAAATAGCGAAGCACCAGTCCGTTCTGGTGGCACCAAAGTCAGCTGAAAACGTAAGCCGCAGCAGCAGCAGCAGAAAAGCAGCAAAAACGGCGGCAGCGGAGGTGGCATGAAAAAAGTGCAAAAATCTAGCTGAGTTTGTGAAAAATAAACGGTAACGTGTTAAGCGTACGGGTAACGGTATTTTTTCCTCATTTCTATACTATACAGCCGAGCGTATGTCATTAACGGTAGAACGCGACGGTGGCGATAGTGCGTGAGTGTGAAAGTCAAGCGAGCGAAAAGAAAAAAAAATAACCGAATAATAATGTATGCCACAATGCGAAAGTGGCACGAAAAAGTTTTGCGCTGCAGCAACTAATAACGATAAAAATATACAAATTATTACGCTACTTCGATTTTCACTTTCATTTGTAGCGGTAAGCAGCAAGCGAGCCTTCGATTTTTGTACTACTACTTACGAGCTGAGCCCTAAGCGCTTCGGCCGCCGAGCGGCGCACCACCTTGGCGCTTGCAATATATAAACAAAGAATCAAAAAATAATAACAATAATAAACCAAAAACAACAACACGCACAAGTTAAAGACCGTCCTTCTAACTGCACCAGCATTTCCGCTAACCAACGCGTCGCCCAAACGCTCAACGCGCGCTGCCCTACCCGATTGCCACTGCCGCTGGACGACGCGCCATTATTGTCGCGTTATGCCGTGCAGTTAATAATCGGCACATTCCCGCTACCCACTAAGCTGCGCGCGTGCACTCTCTTTACGACGCCTCTCTTACCCTGACTAGTGGACTATTCATGCTACTACTGCTGTTACAGTTAATCGACAAGTCACTGTAATTATAGTAATTTGCTTTTTTGTTAACGCGCAACTTGTTGTTGTTATACAAGTTTATTTTTTAGTGTATGTGCATGTGTATGCGCGCGCGCGCGTGTACGTGTGTGTCTGTTTGCGCTTACGATTTATACACACGCAGCGCTCACTCTGCGCTTGGTGTTATTCGCGCCGCGTTACGGTTTTGTTGTTGTGTCAGCTTGTTTTTCCTTGTCGGTGGCGGCGTTAATGTTAAAAACCAATAAGTGGAAGCTATGGCCTCTTCGTTGTTGGCCCTCAGTGATTTAATACGATTCCAATTGGAGCGCATCAAACTAGATGAATTCACCTATAAGGATGAGTTGCATCTGCTGCGCCAATTGTTGGCGCTCGACATGCCACAACCGATGCACGCGCTACATTCGAATGGCAGTAGTCAGGAGCATAACCAGCCACAGCAAGCAGGCGCGCCGCCACCAGCATGCACACCGACAACACATGCGCAAGTGCAAACACAATTGCCGGCGCATACGCAGACGCAAACACCTTTGCGGCTGCAGGCGCCACAGCAGCATCAACATCAGCAGCTGTCAGTGCCGTCGCCACAACAACAGTACATACATGCATTGGGACCATTGCCGCCGCCACCATCATCGTCGCCCGCGTCGCAATACAAACCAAAATCATTGCCGCAAAATCACTATCCACCGCCGCCAACACAAAGTCAGAGTCAATGTCAGCTCAGCACCGCAGCGTACGGTCAGCCGTGTAACAATAGCCAGCAGCAACAAAATGCGAGTCATCACAGTCACGGTCACAGTCAGAGCCAACAGAATCTCTATCCACCCAGCTATAGTCCGGTGCAACAAAATCAACTCAATTACACGCAGAGTCAGAAGCAGCGACAAAAACAACGACGCTTTCAGCAGCAAAACTCCAAGCGCTCACAACAACAGCCGCAACAACAACAACAGGCGCAGAATCGCAGCAAACTGCATGTTGGCGCGCCGTCAGATAGCGATGGCACAGCCACGGCGGATGAATCGAACAATGCCGCTGGCGCCAACAATCATCATCAGCAGCAGCAGCAGCAAACGCCGTCACCAGGTGGTGGTGGCATCTATGTTGGCGCCGCCTGCAATGGCGGTCTTGGCGCGCTTGGCAGCAGCGGTGAGCTGGCGGATGAGGAGCAGGTGGGCGCGGTTGGTGGCGGCGCGGCAAATGGTGGCATTGGCGGCAGCGAGGATGGCTCCAGTGCCAGCGCCAGCAGCAATGCTGACCTACACAAGGATTTCAAGTGAGTATTTTTGTGCGCGCATTGATTAAAAAGCTCCGCACAACTCTGCAAGTCTATAAGTATGTGTGTATGTGTGTGTTAGTGAAGAGAAAGTGCAAGAAAAGAGGTTTTGCAGCGAAATTGAACGCATGGGCAAAAATATTTCGACACTTTCGAGTGCCAAATCACGTATAAGATTGCAGACAAGACATAAAGGCGCAACTACAAATACAACGCATGCAGCGAAGTGGCGGCGCAAGTTGCCGCAGTGTCACGCAAATACACAGAAGCTTATGTATACATATAATATATGTGTATGTATGTAAATGGAGCATTTTCAAGCTGCGAGAACACTTCAGAAGTATGCACACACACACCGGCGGAGTTTGCCAGTACAAAAAAACACAGCACACACACACATATATTTATACAAACACACACAAGTGAAAATAGCAAAAAATCGCATTTTTTCATCGCACAAAATTTGCAATTTGCTTTGCTGATGGTCTATGCGCCTAAATGCATGCCCGCACAAGCAAATATACACACACATATATATAATATTTTTCACCGCTATGCCTGCTTATCACTTTCTTGCCGATGTTTTCATTTTTTACATGTTCAATACTTTTTTTTGGTTTTATTGCTTTTACTATTGCTATTGTTGTTGGTGTTGCGGCAGTACAGTTCGGCGCCCATTTTCCGTCCGTTGTTTTGGCTTATGACACTAAACGCGCCCACTGATTGCAGGCCGAAAATAAGGTCACATGTGTCCGTTGTAGCACAGTGGCCCGCACTAAACAACAGCTATACCATAATACAGTTCAACACTTATACATATATACATACATCTCTATGTAGCTGGTTATAAGCAAGTGCATTGGGGGAAAAAATGACGTGAGCCCTAACATATAACCTCAAACATTCGCAAATGTTGTATGTGTATGTGGAAAATTACGGTATAAATGACATGCCTACAGCAAGCGTTGAAACACAGTGTTTTATGTTGCTCGAAATTTGGCATAAATATGTTGGAAATGCTAAAAATGTTGAATTCTTCAAAATTACTCGACATGCCTATTCGGTTTCTGGCAATCGATCAAACAAACTGATTAATAGCGGCTCTATAAACGAAAACTATTGCCAGGCTCAATTTTAGTATGGAGTTGTTTAGTAGAGAAAAAATATGCATGTCTAAAAAAATGTCAACACATCAGAAACTATGAGAAATGGCTACCATCAATTGACAAAGAAAAGTGGTGATGACCTCAACGCTTTGAAAATTTCAACTCCAGCACTTTTTTAGACTCGCTGCTTCAAAATTTACCACTCTAAATTAGGTTTGGTAAGTTAAACATGCTGATATTCGTGATGCCGCGATTAACTCCACTTGGACAGCTAAAGATATATGTATATCCGTTGTAATGCCCACAACTCCCAAGCATGAATCAAAAAGACCGTCATATGTCGACAAAGTGCCTTGTGTCTGCCACAAATTTATTAAGTAAACCACCTCAATTATCAGTTCTAACCAATTTGACTTGAACTAGAAGGTATTGCGATCGAGATGCTCCAACTTTAGTCTGACGAAAGCTAAACAGTGTAGGAGAAAGTGTATAGATGTTTCCAGCTCGATTTCACGTAACGTGATTTCATTTCAAATTCAAATTTCTTGACAGAACATCCATGTTATTCCATCAGCTCACTAGTAATTTTTTTAAATATGCTTTGAGATAGCATAAAGGTATTTCTTTCGTGACATTTCGGACCTTAGTTACCCGCCATGTCAAAATATTCGGTTGGGCTAAAGAAATTAAGTAATTTTTAAACAAATATTTTTTCTATATAATGAGATTAATAATTAGACACAGAATCGCCTGAAACTAGGAATTATGCCGAGGCTACTTCAACGAAAAAAAGACGGCTCCAAAAGTGACAGGTTCTGTATAACCTTTTACACGCCCCTGGTATATAAAAGGTAATGGTTTGTCAGTAAGTTCTATTGATCTTAAGTTTCTTAATGTCATCGGTGTAAGCCTCAAGTCAGACAGATCTGGTATACTCATCTATAATTATTGGATCACCAACTATAATTTTCTGAGCTACGATGTGGATTTGGAAGGGTTAATATTGCGAGTTGTAAGCAGTTTATAATGAGTTTAGCTTACAAGGATATGTTTATGGAATAGATAAAGGCGATCTCCTCTGCATCAGATCAAATGAAGGTCTTGGTTTTTTTTTTAAATTAGAGCATTAGGCATCAAGAAATAATAATAATATTTGTGGAAGGAGTATCCATGTATTAGATCTATAGATATTATATATATATAGTTTTCTCAAGCCAACTCCAAAGCTGGTATTTCTATTCCACTTGTGAGCCGACTATCCATGCATTGTCATCTAATATTTTTATAGTTAGAACCCAAATATCAAATTGGAACCTCGACATCAGATCAAATTTGACCCAGACTAACGAAAAGAATATACATTTTCACGTACTTTATACACATTTTTATTAACGCCTACAAAACAGGCACCTTTTGAGCCAATATAAACATAGCAACGCTTAGTCTAATTTCCCATACACTTCTTATAAGCCTCAGCTGGGATGGCATTCAGTGCCTTCAGCGAACTTTGACGAATGCAGTATTCTCAGCTACGTTGTCAAGAATATCTTTTGCGCCCTCTACTTGAGGTCGGTTTTGCATAAGATTCAGATATTTTGGTACGAGTCAAGCGTTGACACGCTTCATACTCGAAACATTAACCTTACATAGAATATAAAAAGTATTAAGTCGATACATATGAGATCCTCTGCTATCGCTCTTGCAACTCGATAATTTTCAAGCATTTAATTTTTTATATTTTTTAACATTGTCGTCATTAACAGAGGTGTATGTACGACGCGGGTGTTGTAAAGTTTCGATGACCTCACGGCATGCACTGAATGCTATGTGACACTAAAATATTTGTGTTAGTGATAAAGTAGACTGCCCAAAACACTACACAGAAACTAAATTAAATGGCCAAACACACACTAATTGACATTAAAAAATCAAACTGGACATGAACAAAAAAAATTGTGCCAAACTACGTGCGATCTACATGACAGAAAACCTTGGAATTTATTTATGATTTATATATATATATGTATATTGAACTCGTTTTTTATATTGTTGAAGGATTTGTACCCATGTTATAACTAGTGGTAACAAGCACTCTCGACAGTTTAGTGTACATTATGTAAAGGCGACCACTGCGTAGTCTAAGCTTTCACATGGGATACTTCAAAAAACTATAACCTAACCATTGCCAAAATCTATAACTACCAAGTGATATTACCAAACTAAAAATAAATGCAACTTAATTCATCTTACTTAAAGCTCAAAAAGGCCTTGTCAAGATGTTACTACAATTTAGTCAATAGAACAGCAGCCATAGCTTACTGATATTAGACTTTGCGGCGACAACTTGACTGTCAGTTTATGCAGCACACTGACAATAAAAGATGAGACACCATCTCTTAGAATGCTCGAGAAAAAAATACAGCGAAAACGCGCAAGGGAGCTACGAGCGTGATGACGACAACAACTCAATGCAGTGAAAGAAGATGCAGCGGCTGCGCTGAGTATATCAAGTTTTTGCAATGTCAATTTAAAAGAAACTGAACAAAATGTGTAAAAACAACAAGCGATGTGTGCCTGCACAAGTTGTTGTGAAATTGAGCCAAAAAAAAGGGAAGGCAAACCGTGGCAAAGTTGGAAACGCGCTGCTCTTCGCAGAATGACGCGAGCTAACTTAACAACAAAATTCTTGTCACTTAATTATGACATTTTATTTATTTTCATTTTCCTCAATTTTGTTTTTTTTTTTATAATGAGAGGAAAAATCCATAATTATCTCATTCTAGCTGCACTGTGCGCGTCATGCGGGCATATAGTCTGTGACATGCAAGAGTCTTATTTGTCATATGCACATTCGTATGAGCCTCGCAGGCATAGTTTGTGAGACATGCAATCACACACAAACACGCACAGTGACACATATATATGTGTAGATCTAAACCCAAAGGCTGATGCCTAAGCGTGTGAATATATATATATATATATATATATATATAATGTTTATAAATTTCAAAAATGTGTGTTTGTAGCTAGGCATATCGGTGACCTCCTGTCGTATGGCTCAAGTATATGACAGAATTGGCATGCATAACGTGTCGTGAATTTTTTATTATTGTTTTCGTATTAATTAAAATTGATTTTCAGTTTGCCGCTCGTACTCCGCTTGGGCAAACTTGCTTGATTTTCTTTTACTTAAATATGCCGGTGAAAGGTGTTATCCTTTCTTGAGATTTTTGGTTGGGCTATTTATACCACAGAATAATTTAATGCTTTAAAAGGGTTTTGAAGGTTTGAAGAAATAACGATTGTTTGAAAAAGCATTAAAAAATCATAATATATGATATTTTACAAGCATGTACTAGACTATGACAAATATCATATATAACTGAAAGTCCTTAAAACGCTCATAACAAGAATATATCGTTACAATAATTCCGTATACCTTATGTTGTTGTGGTAATAACAGTACAACCTTCTCTATACGTTTTTTGAAAAATTCTGCTGAACTATCACCGACTAAAAGTGCGAATCTATTTTGTTTATGCAGTCTCAACATTTGTGCCAACGATCTCGACAATTATTATTATAACGGTATTTTTTTTTTTATAAAAACATAATAATTCAGTTAACAATCACGTTGAGTATTCCAAAATGACTAAAAAAAGTGGATACCATGCTAATATTTTTGCATTCTCCAACTTTTTAAAAAATGGGCGTGACACTTTTTTGAATAAATGCGTATAACTCACAAACCACTACAGCAAGTCGCACTGAATTTGGTACAAATTTTGCCTGGACAATTTTTTAGGAGTAGCTTAGGCGTAAATGTGCTGCATCCAAAACAATCTTCCATATAACGGTATTTTATTTTTGTTTAATTTGTTAAACTTTTGGGAGGTAAACTCAAGTTAGCTGATAGATAAATTATAAGAATTTAAGACATATGATACCTATAATCTAGCATATAGCATAGACGTTATAAGCTTCCACCTACATTCGCTATCAGTCTATCAACAAAAACTACTTCCTGACGCCTAAGGTGATAGCCAGATAGAATTGAAAATATTTTAAATGACAAATGCATATATCACCAGCAAACAAATATTGTTATAGGGATCCATAACCACGGCTCGCAGACAATGTAAATTTAGAACCACTTCAACCAACCTAAATAACTCCTAAAACAAAATAGATTTTAATCGTATATAGATCTATAGTATAAATGCCCACCTTCAAAATAGAGATACATATGTAATATCCGTTCACATCGTCGATTCAAGTTAGGCTAACAGTCATAAATCTTTACAAAAATAGTTTTTATTTAAATAGACGGAGTAGTCAAAAAACTGGTAACCTCAGTAGGCAATGTCAAAGCTTCGAGTATATTTCTGTCATAAAAAATCTTCTTAAAAATGGTACAACCCAGTGAATATTCTACAAGTATGTCGAATATTTTTTATTGAAAATTCTTATGTATTCTAAAATTAGTCGCCTTTAGTCGAGATCTAATAAAACTATCATTTTTAATTATGAGAACCTTGTAAGAGAGCAAAAAGACAAGAAAACGCTTGTGATAACATTCAGTAGCCTTGTTGAGGTGCGAAGAGAATTATAGAATCACAGTTTATTAAATCAATGCTCTTATTACAAAAGTTATTTTTTCCATAGGTCGAGGAAAAATCTGATGGAGGTTCAAAAGCCAGCGAAATATATTTAAAAGATCTAGTAAAAATAAATGCACTATTTTTCTAATAGATGGCTTTGCTAATCTGTATCACGCACTGTATAAGCGCGGTCGGGATACTCTATGACGTTAAAAAATAACTTTTCAGACAGTTTTGTGATTGCTTGATTGAGTATTGATTGAGCGTGCTTCAACCATGGACACCAGTAAAGAGAAGATTTGCCATATTTTACAGTTTTTCTTCGACAAAAGCGAAAACGCTGACACTAGAGCCGTGGTGATCGAATAGCGATGAGCCGGTGCAAATGATGGCTAAACCAGGATTCGCAGTCAGGAAGGTTTTGCCATGTGTTTGGTAGGATTGGCAGGGAATCTATTATCAGCTATTCCTCTACTTCCAAACTCTTCATTCTGACCTTTACTGTCGAAAATTGGACCGTCTAAAGGAAGTAATAAAATAAGTTTGTTCCATCAGGACAACGCCAGGTCACATACGTCGATAGTGTCGCGTCAGAAGGTTCGGGAGCTTGTTTGGAAAGTTCTTATGCATCCACCTTGTACTCCAGACTTCGCACCAAGTGAATATTACCTATTCATGTCTATGGTGAATGATTTTGCTGGAGAAAAACTCGCCTCAAGATAAGCTTGTGAAAATCGTCTGTTCAAGTTTTTTGCCAATATGAACGAGAATTTCGTATGAGGGTTGCATTATGAAATTACCTTCAAAATGGCAAGAAGTTATCGAACAAAATGGTGCATGTTTGATCTAAATTGAAAATTCTAACATAAACTAAATACAACCTTCAACTTAATGCAGAAATAATGGATTTTTTTACAAGATCTTTGTATGAAAAATTTCCACAAAAAAAAATATATTTGGAAATCTAAGTGACAAATTCCATGCCAGTTGGAAATTTATGCTGCAAAGAGATTCCATATGGTCTACTTCCGCTTGATTCCTGCCTTCCCTTACTTCTGCTTATTTTTAGGTACTTTTTGTCCTTTCTGACTTTGCCTGACATTTTCGGCATGTTGTTTGTGCACCTTTGCTGCACCTACTCGGCACCTTCTGCCACAGCACTACATATAGTTTTATCCACTCAGCTCGCGCTCAGCACCCGCTCAGCCTTCACAGTTGGCCTGCCAACACGATTAATTGGAGAACACGATTTTTTTACTTATTATTACTAGTTTTTTGTTTTAATTTTTTCTTATTGCTGTTGTTGTTGTATTTTTTGTACTTTTTATCTTGGCGCTGCACGAAATATTTATTCTCTGTCATTATATGTATATTTACAAGCACATTTACATCGATACACACACGTGCAGCGGTGGCAAAACGCAATGAACCCACCCGCCTCCGCCGGCGACCCACGCCGCTGCAGGTCGTGAGCATATGAAATCACAACCTCGTAAATGCGAGTTCAACCTATGTAAATATTACCTTGTTGGCACTATTATTTATTATAATTTTTTTTTGTTTTGTTTATGTATTGTTGTTTTTGTTGTTGGTGTTGTTTTTTCTGCACACCCTTTACTTTTGTTTCGAGTGCTCACGGTTTGATGCCAAGTTTAATTTCCATTATTTTATAAGCACTCACATATATGTTTGTATGTATGTAACTGTATGTGTGACTCTATGTATGTGTGTGGGTGAGAGCGTGTTTTGATCCAGGTATATAATGTGCACACAAAACCTATTTTTCGTTAGCCAACAGCCGGTCGTATTGTCATTTATTATGATTATGGTTTATTACAAATTAAATATGTAGGTAAATTGTTTTTATTGTAGTGCAACAACAAAATCAAAATTATAAAATTATAATTTCAGGTTATTGTATTAATTATAACTGTAATTTGCGGTCATCTACGAGTTGGAGTGAAACCGAATTTCGGCCTTTAATTTAAAAATATTTTAATTATCGGCTACCGCAGAATAAAATTTACAAAAATAAGTGGAGTCGAGCAACCATGCTCCACTACTAACGACAGGAATATTGTCCACTTTTTTATCCTATTTAAAATAAGCACAGGGTTATTGGGTAAAAGGTCTTAAATTAGCGATTATTAGAGAGGTGACCCCTGCATGCGCTCTACAAAGTCTCAAAACCAGTTTAAAATCAGCACAGGGTGTTCACACATATGTTTGCTTTAGCGATTTGTTGTGCCTTAACTATATTTGTTTCTTTAAAGTCCTTAAAATTATAAATTTTTTTTCATGCGCTATTAAAAGCCTCAAAGCCAGTTTAAATTCAGCACAGGGTGCTTTACAGGTCTAACTTTTACAGATTTCTTAACCCTTTAATACTGTGATTGGTTTCTATTATCAAATACTAGGAAGCGGATCGAGGTAAGACGACCTATCAAATAAGAACCTATTTTGAGATCGTTGACTATTTTACGATCTAGCTGCTTCTTTAGATCTCATAAAAGAAAATAATCACGAGTAAGTTTTAAAATTAGCATCGATCTTCTATTATGATTTTAGCTTTATTATGAAGGATTCAAAATTCTTTCATAGTTATCAAACTGCACGAAAATCCGTTGGACGATCGCGAAACAACACAAAGAATTCACACATTTTGCTTATGGCTCATTTATTAAAGAAGGCTGCCTGATGGATGCAGTTAATATACCTAAAGCACCGGCTCCCTGTAGCACTTCCGTTTTATTAATATCTAATATCATTTCATAGATAATTATTGATTATTTCTACTAGGTGTGAATTTTCGAATTTCACACGGATCGGACACCAAATTGGATTAGTATCGTAATTGTCAACTAAGTTATCATAGGGTTAAGCACAGACTTGTACCATGACATCATTTTTTATACACATAATTCAGCTTTTGCAAAACTGAAATGAAAACATCTCAGCAGCCATACCATCGACTCATCAGTCATACCAGTACCACAAAAGACTGGTGTTATAAGCTGTATAAGTGAGATCCCTGTTAGGATCGGCCACTTACCTAACTTAACAGTGATCCGAAAAACTTACAATGGATTACTAGTACTTTAAAATATTACCCCTTACTATGTGAAGCTGAACTTCATACAGCTTTTATCACCTACATCGCAGACAATTACCTCATTCGGAAGTTGAGGCAGAAGCATTAGCGAAGTTGCTATAGATGACGAAATATCATATTTACCTACAACTGACAAGTGACTTTTTGCATAATCTCGATAAGGTTGTGCTTCCGAGGAACGCTTAGCTTCCAATTGCGCACGACTCTCTTTTGAAGTGTTTTGAAGTGAACAATCTAAGTTAAGGGTTCATGAAAATGGGTAAAATGTGATTGCTATTAAATAATACCACTTCGGACTTGCTAAAAGCGATTAGTTAGTTCTTTCTTACCACGTTGTTTGACATAAAAAATCTTCAAGTCGAATTAACGCTACGTAATAAGGAAACAATATCTTTTATGAAGACCTATATCTTGATTTTGATAGCTCAGTTTTAATGACAGCTATATGATATGCAGGTAGTGAACCGATCTCAACAATTTGTGCGGAGACTGTTAGCGATAATCTAAATCAAATGAGCAGCTTCTTGGGGAGAAAGAACGTGTAAAAAGGTTTCAGATCGATATCTCAATAACCGGCGCACTAGTTCGATAGAAGGAGAACGGACATGGCCAAATCAACTAAGCTCATTAAGCTGATCATTTATATGTATATAGAGTCTGCGACGTTTCCTTCAGTGCATTACCAACTGCGTGGCAAACTTAATATGCCCTGTTTAGGGTTTAATAAGAGCCACACTGTTATCAAAAATAAACTTAATATAAAAGCGAAATGTGAAAAAATGACATACTAACAAATCGAAAACATAGTATGCTAGACACTATTCTTCCTCTCTTCTCGTCTTAACTTCGCATTGCACATTTCTTCGCTTCCAACAAAGTTTTTGTATCCGTTTTTTATTTTTCTTGCTTTAATAATTCGAACTGCCTTCAACGACAAAAGCAAGACGTTTATTAAATCACACCACCCACAGTGACCGCAATTATTTTCAAGTTTATGTTGCGGATAACTATATATCTTATAACTATAAATCTTAGCTGTTGAAAGGAGGAGGATAATTGTTGGGTTATTATTATTATTATTATTATAATAGCGGAGTAATCTAATGGGTACGCCCACTAATTTCCTGTAGTCACTAATATAAATATTGTAAGCGAGAATGTGCTTAGAAATAAGTAGGCGCGGACGCACATAGCGTTGAAATAGAAATTTTTGTAATCAGCAATAACTATGGGCAGAGTGTTGTACATAAATATGGAGGAGTCGCAGAATGCTTTAGTGGCTGATAAGAGTGGAAATAGTGTACCAAAAATATAATACAAAAAGTTCACATACAGTATAAAAGGGAAATTACTTAAATGCGAAGCCTTCTGGAGTACACTATCATTACTTGTCGGCAACGTTCCTAACGCCGAGATCCTTTTCTGTTAAGCTTTTATTTTTTAATTGTTGAATGGAGTAGTCCATAGCGAAGCCGCTATTCAGACCTTATAGCAGTCTAAACTTTTTAGGAGGAATACTATCAAATAAGTTATAGAAATACTGACAAGTTTTGCGAACTACATAATTCGGACTAGGAAAATGGCTTTTCTAAACTTGATATTGAAAATATGTTAAATAGAATTTCTTTCACAGTTCTCATTTTACGTCGAATGTGAACTTGTTTACTCAACCAAAGTTATTCTAGACCTTAATCTTTTTTTAGGGTGTTGTTAATGAAAATTTTGGGCCAAGTGAGCTCTTCAAAAAGAAGAGGGATTATTAGTAGACTTGTAACAACGTTGATTTTGTGGTTGCGTGCTTCTAAACGAATTTCTACTACTTTATTACTATAATTACAGACAAAAGATGAGAATTTCATCCGAATTTTGTTGACTTATTTCATAAAATTCCTTTTCCACAAGGTAACTACGAATAGATAAAAGTAGTTAAAACTCTGTGTTGGGTGGACAAATTTTTAGCTATGCATTTGTAACAATTGCTTCAAATATAAAGTATATACAAGTCGCATGCAGATTACAGGCATACTACATCAATTAGTACGCTATCTGGCCAAAGCATATTTACGCATTAAAACCGTAATTTATAAAACACAAAGTAACGGAATCAAACCGGAAGAGTGGCGAGAGCTGAAGGAGCTGAATTTTACTGCAGTAAGAAAATGCGAAAAAACGCATAGGCATATGAATGACATTGTGCGGACGGACTACGGTGTGTGTTAACACGCAAGAGGGACACGCACAGACAGACATATACTCGAATGTGTGAAGGCATATACCAGCCTACTAGGGTAGCTGGAGAAGTTTGATATTTGTTAGGTTATTTTCTTTCTTAAGCTAACTTTTTTAGCTTTCTTAGCATAATACTTGTATCCAGTGTGAACCAAGTATTGATTTCAATGCTGCTAATGATTATTTAAGCAAGCTTTTAGATTTCAGTAACAAGTTCTACTTTGGTCCACATATGTAACTTACCCACCATCTGGTTTTTTATATCTTACTGTATACATTAGAGTTTGACAGTATCAAGTACCTCTTCTTATTATAGTGTACACCTACATATTAACTGAAAGAACGGGTTTTCAAGACTTTATGTCTCTCTGAGCGATATATGGATTTTGAAGGGCAGAACTTTTATGACAATTATCTAGATTTTTATTTAGCTTTGTCTATCGAAACAGCTATTACCATAATTATTTTGTGATTTGGATTCACTTTCCGTAATCACTTAACTGACTTGCTAAAAGAGTAGGTCTTGTTTACAGAATGGATCGGACATTCAGAGCTTCGATCCTAACCCATTGTCTTTCCATTATTTTACTGGGGTCGGTACTGAAATCCCGTAAACACTGAATTAATTTGGTAAAGAGTCGATCTAATGAAATTGGGTTCGAGATCTACTACTTCAATATAAGCCCATTCCCTAGCAGATCCTGTAGTTCTTTTATGTTTCAAAAAGCGATGCTATGTCTGTGATAAATGTATAACTCAGGAAAATCTGCAGAAATTATAAGATACTCCATTGACGACTTTATTTTGAACAAATCTGACGGAATTCTAGAAACCACTTTCTAGCAACCGAAATTGATTATTGAAAGAAGCCACATAGACTTCTCAGGACTTTGTACCAAATATAATATGTGTTTGAGTCAAAATTTCCACTACTATATATAGATATATATATAGATTGCATCGTATGGCTCCGCGAGGAAGCAAAGGGCCGCAATGAGACTCTTCCATATATTTCGATGTAGTGATAGCCTCTTGATTTAAGTAGCACTTATTTAGACCTTAGAAATTTCTACGGCCAAATTGCTTTAGAGCGTATCTCTATTTCCGTCGGCTACTTGGTGGATTGCAATCGATTGCGTTCCGGGTGATTGTGTCTGGATCTCGTCTCAGAACATGGCCGAGCCATTTTTTTTTTTTAATTTCTGTGCAGAGGGAAGTTTGGTTTTGCATGATCTTCTTTAATAATCTGTTTGCAGATATAATACTGCCCAAGTAATGAAAGCACTTCACATTTTCGAGTTTTATACCGTCGTCTTGGAAGTTCTGCACATAGGTGGTGTTGATTCGTATTTCTTTGGCTTTGCCGATGTTAATGCTGAGGCCTACTTTCGCTGCTTTTTGTTGTTTTGTTTGATAGAGCTTCCAACTAGTGGTCTAATCTCTCTCAAAGAGCTACAGGGTAGCATTTAACAGAATTTTACTAGGAATTCCAAAAGATCTAAAGTTATTAAGTAGCCCTCGTACTTACTATTACATATTAACTCATACACCGTTACAACGCAAGAAAAAGCCAACACATTACTCACGAATACATACATACATACATACATACGCAGTATATATATATATACATATATATATTTATAACGGTACTTCATCAGCCAAGAGTTTTATTTCGATTGCTCATAAGCCAAAAGCATAACACATCAAGTGTTGGCAGGCAGTAACAGCAACAGCAGCGGCAACAACAACAAAAGCAAATAGGTGGTGAAAAGTCATTTAAAAATAGACGCATTGTCGCGCACTTTTGCAACCATGCGACGTGTTTAACCCAGTGCGCCAATGTCGCCATTATTGCTGAACTGCTATGCCCCGACGAGTGTACATACTTGTATATATGCCTGTGGTATTCCCAAACTAATAATTATGTAAATTCCCAGCATGAGTGTGTAGCGTAAAGGCAAAGGTTGCCAGCTTGGCTAAAACTTTTTCACATTTTACTGTTTTTGTAATTCCTTGCGTCGATTAAATAATATTTAGCACACTTACATTGCTTTCACTGTTATGCTGTTTTTGTAGCTTTTTATTGTTGTAAATTTTATTTTTTCGAATTTCTTCGCTTACAGAGTCCAAGTACTCGAGTGGTTTCAACAGTTGTACGTCCAAACGGAATCGTTCAGATCGGACGAGGAGTCACAACGTGTCCGTGAGGCGGGCAATAATTGCTATCGCAAGGAACATCATCCACTCAAGGCATGCGATCTATATACAGAGGCTATATTTTTAGCGCCCGTCGAAGAGGATGCAGACAATACGACAGCGGCAATGGCGCATGCGAATCGTTCGACTGTGTTGCATGATTACGGCATGTATGAGGTATGTATGTACATGGTATACTTGCTACAAATTGTATGTATATACAAATGTATGCAATTTAAATCAATGTTGGCAAATAATATCATACATGGTTGTGTATGAGTTGTTGTAAAAATAAAATATGCATTTTAGGCAAACATAGAAGGTCATCCGTTACACATGAATAGCTCGGAAGTCCCAATGAGAATTTGTCATGCATAAGAAACAAAACAGAAAATTAGGTCCCGAAATATTTCGGGATCCCGAAAATCAAATATGATGGAAATCAAAGTAAAAAAAATTCTAAACTAAATACCGAATTATTTTGGGATTCCGAAATTAAAAGTACCCGATTTCTGTGGATTCTTTGCAATTCAATAAATGAAATTAATGATTTTTTTAAATATTGTCAATTAAATTCCGAAATATTTCTAGATCCCGAGGTCCAAAGAAAATCGGATTTTATAGCTTCTTTAGAATTCAAAATGGACTCCGAAGAAATATATAATATTCCAAATTACGTTTAATAAAAATAATTAGTGAACTTAAAGTTCGACACTTTCTTAAGTAAAAATATAAATACTAAATAAGTATGCGAAATATTTTGGGAACCCGTGGTAGAAATAATCCGATATTTAGAGAATTTTTAAAATTCAATTATGGACCACGAAGTTGATTTTATTTTCTTTGATATTTAAAATTAAATCCCGAATTATTTCGGTAGCTTGTCGTCCTAAGATTTTAATCTTCAAGAAGAGGAAAAAATTAAATACTAAATTAAAACCCGAAGTATTTCGTAATCCAGAAATTGAAAGGGTTCAATTTCTAAGTTAATTTCACAATTTCTAGTTCCAAAAATAAAAATATTTTTTTTTATTTTCAATATTCTATCCGAAATATTTCGGGATCCCGAGATCGAAAGAATCCAATTTCTAAGAATTCATAGAAATTTGATAATGGATGTTAATAATATATTTTAATAATATATTTATATACAAGTATGTTAATAATATATTTTTTTTAATAATATAAATAAAATTAAATAAATAAAACAATAAATCCCGAAATTTTCGGGATCCAAATTATGATTTCAACTTGGGTTTCTACAAAAGTAATTGAACGAGTTTCGACCACTTTTGTAAAATAATAAAAACAAAAATTTTAATTTGAAAGACAATCCCGAATATTTTGTACATTAGAGGATAAATCAATTAAATGTATAATTAGTGAATATTAGATCTTGCCACTTTTGAGAAGTGACAAAGGACTCAAAAAAACAACTAGGAACATTTTCGGGATCCCGAAATTCTGATTTTCTGGGCACCGAAATGTCGGGATTATTAAAGAGATCTAAATACTTTAATGTACTCCTTTCAAATCATTTGTAGTAACGTATGTCTATTTATAAAATCTTAGATATATTTTAGCCAATAAAAGTTTAAATTTTTAGATCTGATAAAGACTTTGGGCGAAAGGGCACAAACAAAAATTTATGACATTTAATAGACACCAATAAAACCATTAATTTATATCAAATCAATGAAATTTACAATTTACTAATTGCAAGGATCAAACAAAGCCTCTTAAGTTTTCGGGATCCCGAGAATGTATTTTAAAATAGTCGAACTCTTAACAAAAATGTTGAGTTTATATTTCTACACATTAAACGATTATGGAAAAAGTTCTAAAATTTTGGGAGCCCGAAAGTTTTTTTTTTTCAAAAAGTGTGCTGTCGAAGCTTAAGGAAGTGATCTTTTCTAACATCCCCTCAGCTAACGAGCTCATCAAATGTAATAAATTTGATAAACAGTTCGATAAAAATCGTTTACGCTTTGCATTTTTCTTCACACAAAATTTCGCGCATTACAATTGTCGGGAGTTATGGTGGCGCGTTGGCCTTGAGCACACGCCTAACTGCAAAATAGCGAAAAAATGCCACAACACAGGCAACGCGCCTAACTAACTCCGCCATTAAGCACACTTTCCTAGAGCGCTTCGTGCGCCACAGCGCTTTCGTGACTCGTGTGTTTTTACATTCTCATCCTTCATTTGGTTTGCTTTGTACTATTTCGTGCTTTATTTTTCATTGGAAATTAATTAATTTCTCAAATACACAGGAGTCACACGCAAGCACTCTGTTTCCGCCATGTAATTGCGCTTTTCGAGCCATTTATTTAATTTAAAGTTCAACATGCATGAAACAAACATTATGAAACACTCTGTTTTTACGTGCGCTACGCTTTACTGCCTTTACAGGAAGCCTACGACGATTGCCTGTGCGCGCTGGAACTCGGCTATCCCGAAGAGTATAACGCGTTGATCAAACTACGCCAAGCCGCTTGTGCCTTAAAGTTGCGTAACTTTGCGCTCTGCGAACTGCATGTGCACGAGCTGCTGCACATGGATCTCTCCGAGGCGTTTGAGGCGCGCACACACGAACTTTGGCACGAATGCGAGGTGCTGAAATCGGAAAAGGTCGATATGGGCGTGCAAACAGATGACGATCATTATGTGGCAGCGGCCGCAATGGCACCACAACACATACTGCACGGGAGCAACAGCAATCGGCTGAAGGTCTACGAAGTGTAAGTCTTTAGTTGTTTACATATATAATATATATGTGGCTAAAAATGTTAAACTAACTTTATTTTTATTCGCTTTCGTTGCTGCAACTTCTACCTTGCCGTCTGTACAGCGCCTGGTCGGACACGTCGAACGCGATTACAACGACACGTCGCGCCTACTTGCGCGCCACCACAGACATTGTGCGCCACATGCCGATCTTCAGCGAGGAAGCCGCCATCTTTGTGTCCAGCGGACAGGCGCGCATTTGCGACAATTGCGCCATCACACAATTCATACCATTTCCATGCGACTACTGTTCGAATCGCACATCCGTTTATTGTTCGCGTAAATGTCGCGCTCAACACTCATCCATACACGTGCTCGAATGCTTCGCCCACCAGATTGAGCTGTTCGAAGAATTCGGCGACGCGTTCGCCAAACCGCGCCTACTGCAGCTCGCCTTTCGCATGCTCATCACCGGCTTGCCGCAGGTGATGCCGCATTGTCGCAAACGACCGACGGTCAACAAAATGTGGAACGCCTTCAATGGCATACTCACCGAACGCACGGACATACCATATTCGGCGCTGTTGCGCCTCGAAGCGCACCTCGATAAAATCGACACCGAGACAACTGTTTCACTCGCCATTGCCGCACACATACTAGCCATCTATTTGGCTGAATGCACGGACTTTTTCGAGCACCTCGATCTCATGATGCCCGCCACAACGAAATTGACGCGCAGCGAATGGATCCTACTCTCGGCCGCGCTGCTATTGCGTCACATCGGCCAACTGAGGCACAAACATCTCACGCACTGCCCGTCCTTTGTGTTGCCCGCAGATCCGCACATACTGTCGCCGCTGCACGAATTCAGCCTATGGTCGGCGGTAAAACACATACGGCAGGGACAATTGCATTTGTTGGCCGGCGATGTGGCATGCGTCGCTTACGCCGTCTATCCGCAAACGTTGAGCCTGTGTCGGCAATCGTGCGCCGGTCAAGTGTATCGTAAACACTCCGGGCGTCAGGTGACCGCTTATGCTACATGTGACATCTTGTTGGGCGCTTGCATTGGTAACTGTTTCGTTTACGCTGGTGATTATCGACAATCGTTGTACGAGACACGGAGGCAAAACCTCAAGGCGCGCGGCATTGACTGCAAGTGCGAAAAGTGTTTTCGTCCATATCCGGATGAGGATTTTGTAAGTGTGCAACTTAAGCGTTGTTGATTATACAATATTATGACACTCGCTTGACAACAACAACAAATGCACATAATTCATATATCAACTTACACATGTGAACACATATACACATACACATACCACATTCTAGTTCCTATATATTATACTACTTTTTTAATTGCTGTTGTTGTTGTTGTTCTTAAATGTTTACGTTCTTCAGCCAAAGTAGTGGCCTAAGTGTGTATAGTCTCTACATACATCCATTCATACTAGCATACATGTATGTGTAAATATGTATGTGATGCGTTGTTGTTGTTTTTTGTTTGGTTGTTTGTGCGTATGCAATAGTAGCGATTATAGTTAATTCCACTTTCCATTGGCTCAATGTGGGTGTGTTTGCTCTTGATGTTGTTATTGAATTCTTTCTTCTTCGTGTTTTCATTCGTTTTGTTTTGTTGTTTGTGTTTAGTACTCGGTGGGTCTGTGCATTTGTTTGCCTAGTCTTCTACTATATACTATATATCTATATATGTGTATATATGTATGTATGTGTGTGTATGTTTGCCTAGTTTCTTCCGTGTTTTTGGATTTTTCCATATATATATACATACTTATATATAGTCATTTATGCAGACATGTGTGCTCGTGTTCATTAGATATTTCAATGTTTACATAGTTTTAGGCGCTTAACGGCATTCAAGCCTCTATTGTATATGTTTTTGTAAATTATATATATTTTTACACTTATTTGTGGATTTTATTGTGTGGCCTATGTTTTTCGCAAATATTTAAAAAATATAAAAATATATAAATAACATTTTTTTTTTGGAAAAAAAATTTTTTCGAACATAATTTTTTTTTTTTAACAAAATTTTTGGTCCAATATTAAAAAAAAAATTTTCTATGTAAGAAGGAAAAAAGAATGAAAAAGGAAAAGGCCAAACCTTCCCAAAATAATAAAGCACCTTTAAATCAATAGCATGATCTCGAAAATTATGGTTATGTTGGATTCGGTATACTCAAGGCTTCACATAAAGTTATAACATACAGAAAATACTTAATATTAGCACTATATTGGGAAAGTTCAGAAGAAGAGAAAAAGAATAACTGCCATAGTGTCCATTTACCTTTAAGAATACAAAAAGCTTACCAAAAATAAAATAAAAAACAAACAAAACATTAACTTCCGCTTCAACAAAGCTATAACGCCTTTCAAAAGGTTTCTATAATAAGCAGCCTCTTGCGAAGAAAATGATGTGTGCAAAATTTCACACCGATATCTTAAAAACTGGGTAATTAGTTTGCGTATATAGAGACAGATAGACGGATATGGCTAAATTGAATAAGCGCGTCACGCTGATAATTCATATACTATATATTTTTTATAGAGTCACCGAAGTAGCCATCTGGATGTTAGAAACTTTATGGCAAACTTAATATAATCTGTTCAAGGTATAAAAAATTAACAAAAGACCGTTAAGTTCACAACATGTTCTTGAAAAGTTAGGTTATGGTGGATTTGAACAGCTCAAGGCTTCACAAAAAATTATGTATATCGCATAGAACGTTGATTGTATTACCACTATATTGTAAAGATAAAGAGAAGAGAAAATGAAGAACTTGCTTAGGACCACTCTATGCTAATCATATACAAAGCTTTCAAAAAAATTTTACCACCTAAAGGATTTGCTACTCAATTAGATAAGTTAATCACGGTAAATCATGACTAAACTACTCCAAATTCTAAAATATATTTCTTGATTAGTGTGGAAATGATTTCACATTCGCTGAGAAGACCCTCAACTTTTGTCATTACCATGCGGATCTAAATATTTTTCCCTGCAATATGTGTAGCAAGGTTACGGCACCTCCACCCTTTGAGCGTATTACCGACTTAAATGGATAGCTATTGAAAAGCTTTGATTTTTAATTTAAAAATAACTAACTATTTTTATGTCGATGAATTTCTAAGTTTGATCTTGACTCCAACAGCAAGTTCGAAAGCAAAAGGTTTATATACTTGTACATTTTAAATGCTCTCCCATAAGAAAAACTACCCAATAACTCATTCAGTTTTACTGTTCTGGTTAGATAAAAAATCATACAAGTTCTAGGTTAAGTCCTATGTTTCCTTCATCAATTTACCGTACCAATTGATTCAAAAATATATCTTCGGATTATCTTGTAATGTGTAACAAGAAAAATCAAATCAATCCGTACCAAAATGTAAACAGAATCAATAAAGTTGAGTGTTGAAAATCTGATTTCGAAATGAGGAATAAGTCTTGTCCGAAATTGTAAGGCTTAATAAATAAGTGATAATCTTGAAATCGACGTAGAAATTCCTTGAACCTTTTATTTATAAAAATTGGACCCTATATACTATATACTACTACTATAGCTTCATATATGTGTTTTTTTATACCAGCTAACCATTATACGCATTTCCGTTACCATACAATACTTACTGGCCCTAAAATCGTTTGGTCCAACAAAAAAGTATTTTACAGGTTGTAGGTTTCAAACTTTTAATATCCTGAAACAGGGCATATGAAGTTTATAAAAACTAGAAGGAAACGTCGCAATAGTATATATATAAAGGATCAGCGTAACGGGCTAAGTCGATTTAGCCATATCCATCTGTCTGTCTGTCCTCAGTTTTTGAGATATTGATCTGGAATTTTTCCCACGATCTTTTCTCCTCATTTTTCGGAACCGCCGTTATTAGACGACTATAGGATATAGCTGTCATACAAAGTGATCGGTCAAACTCACGTTCTTGTATGGAAAACTGTTTTATTTCATATGGTGTCTTCACGAAATTTGACACAGATTACCGCCCAGGGCAACGTTACAGTCTCCGTATAAATCAGATCAGACTACTGTAACATATGAAACTGACCGATCAAAATAAATAGCTTTTGATACCTTTTTATGCTATAAGAAATGCACCTGCGAAAGTATTATAGCTTCGTTGCAGCCGAAGTTAACGTTTTTTATGGTTTTAACTTCAAATAGGTGCAATTGGTTATCTTAAAATACTTAGTACATCTTCATAATTCTTTGTTATTCTGCAGCGAGATTCGCAGGCCAGCAGCCTTCTAGTTGTAATTCTCTAATTGAAAGCAGAACTCATTTCCAACTTTCTCATTCATCAACGATTTTAACTAAAGGATATTGAAGCTTTTTTTTTTTTTAGAACGAGATCAGCATAAATATATTTGTGAGTCTCCGCTGATGAAAAGTAGTGAATCAACAGATCAAGATTACTACGCGCCTTACATAATTCGCTTATTGGGTCCACTTTTAACCAGGTTGTAGTTGTTGCATTGTTGAAATTTTTCAGAAATGAGTGACAGAGAGTCTAAAATTTAGTGCTGTCGACCTTCTAGGCTAATAGCCGAATCTCTGTGCGAACCATGATCAGACAAACCACATAAACCTTTGTAAATTAAATGAGTAGATATACAGGGGTTTTTACTATGATTTATTTAGATAAGAAATTCATTTTTGACAACAGTTTGTAGATAACTGAAACTTATGTGAAATGAGGTTAATAACGAGCTCGAGTCGGTACTCACGAGATTTAGCATTAAACTGATTTAGTTATTTCTTATAAATTTGTCACAGTATTCAGTGCTCTACCTACACTACTAATTTGAACGGAAATCAAAATTCATGGCATGACTAGTACTCTAGACTCTTTATACTAGCTCAATATTTTACATGAATATTTGAATATAGAAAGGTGA